CGCGCGCAACTTATATAAAAATGGGGGAAAAATAAACAAATCCGATCTATATGTTTTTAGCAGACAATAAGGATTAAAAAACTGCAAGGCCTGTTTACAAATTGGAAAGCTTCTAGCCTTTAAAGTTCTTAGACAGTAAACATTATATGCATTTATGCACACTCCTTTGAGGCTACCCGTGAATTTTACCAAGACTGCCAGGACCGAGAGCCTTAAGTAACACTTTGACTCACGGGACGCAATTCAATATAAAAGTACACTGTTCTTTGTGGAAGTGGCTATAGATGGGCCACTCTTTCGTACACGTGTATAAACACTCAATATAAAACACATCGGGAGTGATAAACTTTCATTTTTAAGCGTAGACTCTTATCGTAAAGCATTTTTGGATTTTAAATTCGGACGGAACACGAGTGGGAGCGGTGATGTTGTTGATTTTGCAAAGCAGAAGCATGCTTGTGCTACTTCCTGTGCCTTCGATGCCTAACAACCCTTCACCAGTGGTTATTTTAACTGAAACTCTCAAAAAAGAAAAGTTTCAAATTATACTACACTGTTACGCTGTGATCTGCTGCTGCTTCATCATTTTTTCAGTCAGTTTCTTCCCTTCGAAGGATCTATCGTTTGAATGAATCTTTTCAGGCAACAGCATTGCTTTTCGCAGTGAGCAGCGTGAGCTAAAGCAAAATCTGCATCGGCATGAGAGCCGCGCAGATGCCCTGCGACCCATCAAGTGGTTTTTGATCAATTCTGCAAAGCCATGCGCCAGAATTCGTGAGTAATCCGGAGGCGAAAGCAAATCAACACCCTGAAAATACCGTTTCAGTGGTGGAAAAAAGTCAAGAAAGTAACTTTTAGGCAATCCTTTTCAAATGAGTGCGTGATAAACCACTCGACAAAAAGCGGGAAACCCCCTATTTTATGATTTTCACGGTCGCAATAACTCTCTAATTTGATAGAACTGACTGTTGCTAAAACTTCATTTGTTCAAGCAACTGCTTTAAGAAAATATCTCTGAAGGATTTTGCAGATCAATCCTACTCAGCTTACCGTGTTTTGTAGAATCATCGGAAGTATGCTTTCAGTTTCGAATGAAGGAATGTGCGACGTGATCGGCACAACCAACGTACGATAATATTTGTCCCTTCTGAGGAGATATAACTGCATCTGAATGCTTTCGACAGTAGTTGCTGGCCACTGATCCCAGCCGCCAAACCAGGCCAACTTCCAAGGCAGCGCCTGGTTAAGATGATCCATCAGGCGCTCACAGGTGGCCCATACTTCCCGTTTATAGTCCGCTGAATTATACCAGCGCTAAACAAAGGTAAAGTGTAACAGTGATCTAAAAAACATGGCGAAGAAGATAAAAACATTCAAATTTCAACTGATAGTAGACGAAAGGCTCTAGCTTTCGTGCAAACTCATAGCTACTGCTGAAACGAACAAATGAGCTGGTAAATGATGACGCTTATTGTCAGAATCGACATCCAAAACAAACCATCTGTGGCGCAACAAACAACAAACTGTCATGTTTCTCCAGTTCGGAAAACAGCAAATCATGCCAAAACTAAAAAA